CCACCATGTATAGTGTACTGTACTTAACAATAACAGGTACCTCTTTGTTTTTGTATCTCACCAAAAGCTTATTATGTGAGTACATTACAATGTACATGTATGTCACTAGGTCAATGTGTAAATCTGCACTTTAACTATATGTACATCAGCTTCTGTAAACATGTTTTGCTCTAGGAGAAGCTCCTGAGAAACTTAACCTTTTCAGAGGAGTAGGAGATACCACACACTGTTAATGTTGTTATCTATGGTCTCGTGTGTAACAAGTATAAAGCACTGAAAAGAGCTTTTCATGTACTCTAAGCCAGCCTACCCGCATTCTATCCCCCATCCTACCGTCACTGTGAGAGGTACAAAATGTATATCCGTTGATTTTGGGTAATAAGGGGGTTAGGATTAGTCCTTGTTACACAACCCAAGCCAAAGGTTGCATTCCGTTCTGGCATTGAAATCTTCGGCGGACTTTGTCATGTGGTTGTCATTTGTATGAACTAGCAGTTCAAATTGTTTTCCAAAATGAAATTCCCATGGGGCGAGGGAGGGTTCAAGGTGGCTGGGATTATGGCACGCAATCCTGAAGGTTTATCAGAGAAATGTCCCTCGTGAGAGATAAGGGTGAAAATTACAGCTCACAGAGCTGGGACTGTTGTGACATAAAGAGTAGCTCATGTACACAGTAGCAAGATGGGGGCTGTAAACTTAGGCCGCATCAATTTGATTTATTGGTTCTCTGATTTTTTCAGAAAAAATATGAAGCGACAGGGAAAAAAAACAGACCTAGGCATCCTAGATACATGTACTTATGATAGACCCAAATGGTATGATAGGATCCACGAAGTTAATATCCCAGGCTGATTGTAATTTAAACATTGAATTTCACACTTTTAATTCAAACCACTGCATTGATAGGAAAACTGTAGCAACTCTGAAGAAAAGGAACTTCCTTCAACTGTCACAGCCAAAATATAAGCATTTTGGAGTTGATTCAGAGCCTGAAATGTTAAATTTTTTTTTTGCAAATCAGAAAAAAATGAAGCCGGCGAATCTGAGAACCAACAAATTGAATTGGTGTGGCCTTACCCTAAGCGTGCAGAATATGACCTGGTGTATTGTTATTCCCCCTTTGGCCTGATAATGATACATGTGACATAGTGACATCATCTCATCAGACACCAATTTTGTCAGGCCATGGTTCATCATTATTCAGAACGGCCAATAGTGTATGGGACAGACAGTTATCCCTGATAGAGAAAGATGAGATTGTACCTGCCAGAGTGACTCTAGAACCTGTGTCTGACACCTGAAGTGAACTCAAACTTTAAAGTCCTGTTTACTCCTGCAACCAGATTCAATCCTTCCCCCCAGAGCATCACAGTGTGAAATTGTCCTGAAATGGAAGTTTTCAGCCTCGGCTAATAGTGTCACGGGGCTGTTTGAACCTGAACTTGAGAGGTACCTGGTTCCCGACCGTTTCGTGGCATTACAGACAGCAGCTGAATCCTAATCCTGTGGGCCAGCCATGCTCTTCAGAAGCCTTACACCCTTCTACATTTCTAGCCTCCTTTGCAGGCATTCCAGGTGCGGTCGACTTTTTTTTGGAGGGGGGAAGATTTTTCCCCTGCAGTGTGCAGTCATCATTTTTTTGGGGGGGAGGGCGATTTTTTTCCCTGTATGGTCAGCATTTTTTTGCAGGGGGGGGCACTTATTTGTCAGATGCACGGTTTTCATATTGCATGTGGATCACACACGCTTAGAGCTCTGGCCGCCAACCCTTGTTTGCTTTCGGAATAATTAAAGATTTCTAAGCGTGCGCTATCTACCTGCAATCCGAAAACTTGCTCCCTCCCCCTCAAAAAAAGACGCTGACCGCTCCCAGAAAGCCTGCAGAGGAGGCTAACTCCCTCCCAGGTGGACCACCTGTGGCCGGCAGGCAGGAGCGAAGGTATTGCCAGCTCTTACAGGGTCATGATCGGAGGGCCCGAAACTCAAGGAATTCCTGATCCTAAAGATAGCCAAGAAGTGCCAGACAGAGGGAACCATTGATAACAAGGAGTTTGTGGGCTGTCAAGAGTACAGCTCATAATTTGTTCCATCGCATATTTCAAAAATTTTAGATACATATCTCGCAGTCAAAACATTGTTTTCGTGCTAACCGCATAGTGGGCAGACTTCGGTTGAGAGATGGTGTGACATTGTTTGTTGTAACTAAACATTCATTAAATGCTGCAATGAGGAAATGTATACATATTGTCACCAGCAATAGGTCTTCTTTCACAAACGTGGTATCCATTGGCAAGCCGGTAAGTTCTATCCACATCCCCTTGTAACAATCCTGATAAGGAGGGAAATAATTAGACCAGAAACTGCTACTGATTAGCAGGTGGTGTAGGACAGCGCCTTAGGCTGGTGATAACTACTTCCTGTGTTCCAGGTCAATAACTTGACCTACATCCTTGGGGGTATACCCCTAACTGAAATTGGAATCTGACATACCTTTTCTTTCCCCGTCTTGATAAACTGCCAGGTCTGTAGGAAAGTCCAGTAAATCGTGATGATGATCGATATCATTTTCCAATCTTGCGTACTACATGTATGATAGGTATGTAATCATCATCATCATCATGAATATATCCAACCCCACCATCACTGACAGAGTTAAAGCTAGAATCTGTTACAGTAATCATAAATCACTAAATCTTTACTAAGCTCTGAAGCACTCTACAAACTGATGTTACCTAATAGTATATACAACGACTTTTACGTACACATACAATGTACGTGTATTACTGCCCAGTCTTATCCCCCATAACATGTACCAAACCTATTATTTGTCCTACATATTGTAATACACATACATTGTGTACTAACTGTGTAAATATTTAGTAGGTCACAAAGTAATATTGAGAACCTCTCCTAATTGTCATAAAAAATTGCTCAATGATGAGACAGGTATAGGTCTAAGGACAATAAACCACAATAGGTAACCAGTGCCTTAAGAAAGAAATTTTGATGGCTTCTTCAACATTTTTAAACACGCCTCTTGAAACTGGTAGCAGTACATGTACGTTAACAGTCTTAAATTTCGAAGTTCAATGTCTCTCTTAGGCAGTTCAGTTCAATATCATTTGCAGGAGGAGACAGTAAAATGTTACACCCCGTAGTAAACGTTCCGTTCAACAACACACTGGACATCAGGTTACTCTCTTAACATCAACAGCAGTTGAGCAGATACATGTATCAGGAAATAATCCATAGTTTACTGTGTAACCAGTATCCCAAGTGTTGACACTTGTTCCAGCCAATGTCACAGCCAGTTGTGGTCGCTGAAGTAAGAAACTGAGCAGGTTTCGCTGTTTTCCACCAAACTGATCGCTTCCATCTGGTACCAACAGAACTTTCCTCGGTAACCAAATCCTTCTCGGCAATAACCTGTGGAGGCATTGAACTCTGAAGAATGTCCCTTTTCTCAGTGTCCCAGCGAAAAGTGACAGTGTTTTTGGCTGAATCAGAGGTCGCAGTCTTTAAGAGTGAGGCTAAATAAAGCTGGGCCAAGAATTTGTCAAAGACATCTATTTTTGGCGTGACTGTAAAGTTTGGAGGAATTACCAGGTTTCTCACAATATTGCTGCGCCCAAAATAAGTTTTAGGGTAACCATTGTGGTTAACTATTTGGGTGTTTTTTATGTATGCTTATCTTCAGTATCATATTATTATTATTATCAGGCTCAATGTAAAGTTCAATCAAAATACATTTTGTTTTAAAAACTGATGATGATGATAATGAAAAACTGTGATAACAGTATACATTACCTCATTCTTAGGCATTGTTGAAAGATAGTAAATGCTGTTTGAAAGATCTGAATCTGAAGAGAATTTATCAAGTTGCTTAATTTTGTATTTAATTGATAGCATTTAGTTAAAGTACCGGTAGTACAAAATAGAATACAACACGGTGTATTCCGTATCGCCCGATCCGATCCGCGGGAGGGCTGGGACCGAGGGTGATGCAGAATACACCGTGTTGTATTTTATTTATGTCATACCCACCCAAGAAAACGCGCCTTTCAATGCGAAATGAGCGAAAATCTGGTGTCCCTAAACCCAAAAAATGCGACAACATCAATTCCAACGTCCGAATTTTGTATTCGAATTTCGAAATCGGTGCACGCGGTTAGGCCGAAACGCGTTCGAATCGTTCCACGGAACATTTGGAAGCCCCGGGCCGTACGCGTAAAGAACCCCCGGGCTGTACCGCTAGTTATCACACGGGCCGGAACACCCGTATCAAACGTAATCGCGGCCCAGGTAGGACATAAAATGTAGTATCCATACTATCGGGGAAGGGTCCCTGACACATTGAAAGGCATATTTTAGCAATTTTGTGGATTGCTGATCAAAACATTGTCTTAAAACACAATTGGGCATAATCACCATAAAATTGAAATTTGTAAATTGTAACAAGGATTTGTCAAGTGGCAGATCACTTGAGAAGTATTACTCTTTTCAGCACCTTAATAGAAACATAACCATCTCAGTATCCTACATACATGTACATTGTACATGTAACATGCAACAGTATCAATATGACACATCTATTTAAAAGGTCAACACGTATGTTTGTCTTGATATCCTTGTTGTCCTAAGTTTGTTGACTGACGGATTTTATAGAAGCCATGTGAAATCATAGTCTGAGAGAGGACTGCAGACAGACATGTAACTTTATCTGTTTACTCTTGCCTTGTGTATACAAGAAGTTGTGAAGTGATTGCACCTAGTGTTTGATGTTGTTTGCTGCACCCACCCTTGTCGGCACATGGTTATTCCAGGTAAGTTATCACCACCTGTGTTTTGGACAACAGTCTGAGAAATGTGCACTGTTGATCTCCTCTGGACCACTGTAGGTCAAGTTCGTGGATAGGGAAGTCTGGGAGGATGTTGGTCTACCCTCGTGTTGTAGCTGCTAAGGGAAATGGTAACCACCGATCAAATTGTTCCCCACTCAGGTCACAACGCAGCTGTGACGTCTGTCAGCTGGAGTAAGGAGGGAAGATGGCTGTTGACAGCCTCAGATGATAAAACAGCCTCTGTCTGGTCCACTGGCCAATCAGAGCCCATCCTGACCTTCTCATCAACCAATCACAACTTTGCAGTGGACAAAGATGATGGAAAACTAGCAGCCAAGGTGATTTAAACGTCCTTGCATTATAATTAGCTCCCAGTGTAATTAGATTATTGTGCTTATGTCAGTGCTAAATGGTGTTACCAAGGGACTGATCATTTTGTGGTACAGCTTACTAGTATTTTCTATTTCCAGCGATGGCCAACTTTGATCTGGATGATGTCCAACTCCTGCCACATACCTGAATGTGGAATTACAAAAATAAATTGTAGGTTCCTCCCAAGCTGTGTTTAAGCTGGACGCTCTCCAAAATAGTCCTCCTACTCAAATACATTTCAAGGAAACTAGAGCAATCTTGTTGAAAGCCCCGTGCCAAGTAAACCATTCACTTTCCAGTAAACATAATTGTGCCTCATATTAAGTACCATGTATGATGCCATATCTTGAAAACAGGATAAACATGGATATATAAATCACTATACATCAAATATGAGAACTAATCAAATGTTTCTGATCATTACATGGTGCAAAGTCAGCCAGGGAAGATATTTATCTAAAAGCTGTTCATTTATTTTCATAACAACGAAGTTCATGAGAGTGCAAGCCACTTTGAGTTCAAGTGGCGGATACAGGGTGGACTCAGCAGTTCATACTGACATAGTTAGGACCTTCCATGTTCGCAGTGTTTTTCCATTGAATGGTACTCGGTCTACTTTTAGAAATGACACTTGATGGATTGATTGGCTTTGAAGGTCAAGGCGGAACAGCGGGATACCGGCGTGGCATGTATGATACGTGTACATCGTAGCGCCCTTAGATGATCGTGATAAATACGAATGTGAGCCAAGTCATTGGGTTCAACACATTACTCAGAAAGGCCACGTAACAGGGACACCTCTAACGTGTATACGTCACTGTTGGATCTTACCATTCACCAATACAGAACAGAAATGTACAACACACTAAAGGAATGATGCACTCTTTGCTGTTCACTTGTACTTTGCCAGGTAAACTACCATATACACTCACTCACTCACAATCATATAAAAAGGATTATTGCTCTGCAATGATAAATCTTTGTCTTATAGCTGTGCAGGTCCTGGTATATACATGTAGCACTTGGCACCAGTCATGGACAGTGATAATGATGATGACTAAAGCAATGCTGCACCAGTGCACCAATATAGTAAGATGAAGGGTCATCTTAGGTGATGATATTTCTGAAAAACAGCTGCTCCAATTCCTCGGTCTCTTCTTTCCTCGTCTCTGTTTATATAGCAGTGGTATCTGTAAAATTACTGTCCCGGTCAGCCAAAAAACCATTCAGAAGATTTCTATACCTTGCCAACATGTTGTACATGTACGTCAATGAAGGTTACGTGCACATTTTTTGCGTCTATGTACTTGCTCATCTCCAAAAAAGATGGCTTGAAAGTGACACTCATTCTCCTGTGTTGTTTGTCCTTACTGATGATGCACACTTATAAACGTATCCTGTCTCGTGGCATCAGACAGTGTAGATCCTTTAGTATGCACTACTTCAAAGAAGCCCCCCATGAGCTATGCAAGGTCGCATGCCCTTAGTCAGCATCTGACACGCACAAGTTCATTCTATTAATAGCTAGCCAGGATACATGGAGTTGTAACTAAACTAAACTCAAATCAACTCTAGACCCAGAGTCCTGCCCTGAAACTTCAAGGCAGTGACCAGGATGAATTGTTCTATTGAGGCTGTCTTGTTACCTACCTGTGTTTTATTACATCAGGAAAAGCCCTTGAAAAGCAACAAAGTTTACAGAGATAGGAAGAAGGGCTATGTGTTATACCAACATTTTTAAAAAGTTGTCAGAACACATCGCAATAGTGTAAATGTCTGTGGTATTTTTATTTTCTTGATTTTTGCAGTCACCCTCCACCATGAAATCATAACACTGCCAAGATGCATTCTAACGGTATTTACTGTTACAGTACTATGAAATTGTTTCCACAGGAAACTACAAAACCCTCCTTTCCCTGATGATGATGTTGATGATGATGGTGTTGATGATGGTGTTGATGATGTTGATGATGATGGTGTTGATGATGTTAATGATGATGGTGTTGATGATGTTAATGATGATGTTGATGATGATGATGATGATGATGTTGATGGTGTTGATGATGATGTTGATGATGATGATGATGATGTTGATGAATCTGAACACTGTTAGATGATGGTGTTGATGATGATGTTGATGGTGTTGATGATGATGATGATGATGTTGATGACGATGTTGATGAAACTGAACACTGAATTGCTGGATGTGATGTTGTACATGTAGGAGAACCGTCCCTTCCCCCACCCAGTGAGACATGCCCAGTTCTACTACATGGACAAGTTTGTCCTACTGACCTGTGGCAGTGCCATCAGCATGTTCAAGTTCCACCTGGACCCAACAAAAGATGACATCAAAAGGTAGGTACCACCTGTTAGTTCAAGTCACCAATCAATCAATCAATCAATAAATAAATAAATCCAATAATCAGTAGGTGGTAAGTTGCCAGGTTTGTTCCTGATACCATTAGTATTATAGAAATGCTTTCAAATTAACACGTAATCGAAGCTAATTACACAGTTTTGTTTGACATTTTATTTACAGAGGGATTTTATATAATGATGCTCTATCTATCAAAATGTCCTGTACATTATCAAGGTCCATTCAGGTTTCAAAGGTTGGTTATTGTGTGCCGGTATAGATTCTGTTCCTACCCCCTTTAGGTTCATTCATGCTCAAAATGAATATTGGTCATGCCCATATGGCCAGCAGGGGGAGGTCCAGGGTGTTTGCATGAACCCCCCCCCCCAATGCTCAAAGTTCCATTGTTAATACCCAAGATGTTTTAGAATTTGTACCACTAGCTTGTTTATTTGTTTATTTGGATTTATCACAAGTACAAACAAGAAGCCATAGGTGACAATCCTCCGTGAAGTTTTATATATTTCAGCAAAATCCCAAGCGTCAACGCCAGACCTACTGTGCAGACATTATAATTAGGCAACGGTTAATACAATGAGGGCGCGTCACAAGCATAAAACATACAAAGAGCTAAATCCATTACTGCTCCCAGGGCGTGTAAAGATACTGTGCTTCAAGTTCGAAGTTCATTTTATTTACACACACACAATCATTGCATTCACATAAAGATCGGACTATCATGGTCGTGTCTAGTAACAAAGACAGCCCCACCGTCTTATGCTTCGGTCCCAATTGAAAAAGGGGCCCTGCCGGGTAGTTCCCGGGCTGTTTTATGGCACTTTCGGGCGTGACCCCTACGTGGCCCCGCCGGACACCCTGCGGCTACCGGTCTATTTTTTGGCCCGGCGGGGACCCGAGAAGAATTTAATTCTGAATTAAATTCTACCCGGGCCCCGCCGACAAAAAGACGTCGTGACCTCATCATGAGAAGACCGACAGGTACCCCTCCGGTTGCCGGCAGTTCACCGGGACACATTTGTTACGTCACAGACCAGATGAACAGAATAAAGGTGTGTACTTCGTAAACCCGGGTAAAATGTGTGACGTCACAGATGAAATGATCACAACAAAAGCGTGAACTCTATATTAAGTGGGTCAGTACAAGACATCGTCAGAGAAGCTGCCGGGTACCTGCCGGGTGCCTGCCGGAGAACGACCAAGAAGGGTGACAAAATGCCACTGAAGGAAACTTTTAATTGTGACCACAACAAACGGTGCCCGCCAGGCTCCAGAGCCCGGCGGGAGCCGGCCCGGGCTACATCCCCGACGGGCACCGGCACAATTGGGACCGAAGCATTACCGTGCCTGTACCTAATTAAGCGCGCCTGGAACAGGCCAAATTCCAGCAACAGTTGCGGTAAGCACGGCGAGTGTTACTACCGCCGGCCAGATAACCAGGATATCTGCTTACAGTACCTCTGCTACCAGACAACTGCCTAAACCTACGGCCTATTCCACAGGATTGTAAAAGTAGGGATGTTTCTAAAATATGCATTTACTTCAATATCAAAACAGCTACGGTAAAAATAAAAAGACGTGCATCATCCCGGACATAATGCCACACCACATGCGAAATTACACAGAAATGCGACGTACGGAAGAATGCGTTTTGGCTGCGAACATCTTCCAAAAAACTTGGCATCTCTTAACCATGGGCAAAAACATCTGGAACCACTTATAAAAACCACCCCGTATCTGCATGAACTTTTTCCCACTCCACTGCTATTCCAAACAACGCGTTTTTCTGGACCATTCCAATTCGCCTCGTAATTGTAGGGGTGCGTCTGCGATATTACATTGACCGCGAAAGCAGCAACTGCAAAAATACACATTCGTGCATCAACACGGGCATGCCCGCAGACGGCGTATAAAATTGCGTGCCGATTACACAAAGAGAACCCGGTGTTTTGACTGCGAACATGAAAAATCAGCCGATTACAACACTCCGTCCGGAGGTCCTGACCTCCTTCACGGAGTAATAAACAAGTGGAAGGGAGCGAGGGCAAAACAGGTGTATAGACACCTTTACAAGTTGTCCTCCCAAACACTACAACATAGCTTGAATCCTAGAAAAACTGCTCACTTTGCCATTGAATAAAACAGGAATTTTTCCTTTGAAATCCTCTCAAAAACACAGGAAATGACATTCCAGAAGGTTCAATTTTCAAAATTTCCATGCCTGCAGTGCTTGCTGGTCCTACAGATAGTAAGAAGTACCCCCTTCCCCAAGTAAAATCCTGGCTACGGGCAGGTTGGTGTCTTACAAAGTAGGTAACCAATCTGGAAGAGTCACATAAACGCCATTATGATTGATCAACATTGCAGGTACAGTAACTGTAGTTTGATGAATATGAAATTGTGCAGTGATACGTTCTCTGATTGCAGTGCGGAACATCAAAAGCCTTATTCTATTTCTTTGATCATTTTCTCCTGCTGACATCTTGGTGGGGATGCTTGGAGACAGGTGCCTCAGGGATCACAGAAAGGCCTCGTCACGTTACATGTGATTATAGGGTGTGAGATGACATAATTTACCTCACCGTTTAGAGCCCTAATCACCCGGTAATAAGACCCGGACAACGCAGACACTGATGTATAAATCAGGATGCAATTAAAGCAAAGGTTGATCCCAGGTCACTTTTTCTTACTCTGGACTTTCCCTGGTATGGATGCAAGTATGTTAATTGGCCCCTTGGAACTTGCATCCACATTTTTTAACCCAGTGGTAGGAAGTACTAAACACATTTAGATGTGAGCACACAAAAGAATACCCTGACCTGGTTCTCTGAGATTTGTAGTGTCTGTTCATCTCTTAAATGCTTTGCCCTTGGTTTGAAATCTCTAAACAATGCGTGAAGCAACACGTGCATAGGTTAGGTGTGTCAGGTCGTTCAGTGTTAGTAATATAACTAGATGCTGCCGTGCCACGTGCCTGTGAAGCTGGTGTGTTAAGAAGGGTAGTAATACTGGCTATACAGATAGAGATGTTCAGAATGTACAGAATGATCAACATATCTGAACATGATTTTTTGCTAATTTTAAAATGTATCTTTACTATTTACTATAGAAACTAAACAAATCCTTTGGAGACTTTTTCTTCAGCAATCCATACATGTATCTCTTTTGCTGTTGCATCCATTGTGTAAGATTTACAAATTTTCCTTCAATATTCATTTTAATATTCATTGAAAATAAAAGCATTTTGTCATCATGATGTCTTCATTGCAGAATGTAAAGGAACCCAGCATGACCCTTGTTTGTACATGTAGACATCTGAGCTCTGATATGTACTGTCTTTGAAATACTATATGAAGGAATGTGCCAACACATGATAACTAGGGTCACATATGCAAAACACTATAAGAGCTTTGAACTTATTTTGCGTTATCGGTCACGTAATTCTGATATGAGAGGGAAATAAAATGTCAGACGGAAGCTGTTCATTTGCCAACTATGTCCCTGGCACGAAGAGTCTTTCTAAGAATACATTTCAAAGATATCTGAGGATTGAACTGGCTGTCATGTGAGGTATGATATTTCAGTCGACATTCTAAATGTCTACTTTCAAAATGAATTGAAACTTTAAAGGGCAAATGTGTATTGTAATAGGTCTGGAGATGCAAGATCTGTCAATATAATTGTGTTCTTCTAGAAAAGTGTAATCCTAGCATACATGTAGAGTGTGTAGATTAAGCCACATATTAATCATAACTTGTTAACTGGTTCATTTCTTAAATGGTAAGAAAATTGCTGACTTTTTGGGGATGTTGGACAAGTAATGAAAGTGAAAAACAATCAAATTCACCCTACAGAATATTATAATATCAGTACATGTACATGTACATCAAACCTGAAGCTAACCTGTCAATGTCTGCAATTAGTGAGACTTGGTTGTCTTACCTGTATCAACAGACACCTAGACACATATATTGTAATACTGGTAACAGGAAAACTACATGTAGTATGGAAGCCTACAGTCCTTTATTTATTATAATAATTACATCTTGGAAGAAACGTAAATCATTATGCCAGTCAGATATTATACCTTAATGCAAAATTCCCTTTTGTTCAGTCTTCTGTAATATTCTAGCAGTGGTAAATCCTGTTCAAAATAATTTTGTTATCTTGGAAAGTGGGCAGCCTGGGCAGCGGCGCAGAACAGAAGTGCTTGGAGGACAGTTTGCCGGGGCGCTACGCTTCTAGGAGCATGCGGACTTGAGTGAGTGAGTGAGTGAAAGTGTGTGACATATTCTTAGAAAGATTTTCATGCATACATATACTAGTAAATTATTTGTAGTTGGCAAAGAAACAGCTTCCTGCTGACATTTTATTTCCCCCTCATATCAAAATTACGTGACTGATAACGCAACATAAGTTCAAGGCTTGTAAGTGTTTTGCATAATTTTTTTTAATGTGACCTTTGTCATCATATCTTGGTTTTAGAATAAAATGTTCATTTTTGTAAATTATGGTGTCTTTCTGTCAGGTACCTGACATAGAGTTAGGGTTACGTATTGTATCCAAGTCTCAAATTCTCTTTTGTTCAGTCTCCTCAAAGCATGTGTTACTCTGAACATTCCAACTATGGTACTGGTACCTCCTGTTCAAAATCATTCTATTATCCTGGAGTGTATGTACAAGAGAATTGCTACAGTAACTGTTATTTCAGCTTTGCATGTCGCTCCATCAGTTGAAAGTAGGCACTAAGATACACTCTTCTTCCTGATTCATTGTTTTCTTACTCTTTAGTTGAACTCAAGGTGGTTTCGAAGGAGGGGTATAGGTGTACAATAAGCAGACCCTGATTTGCGAGATATTTCACAACATTTATCTGTTTAGAAGTCACCAACTTTGCACCAGTGTCTTCTGACGGAGGTCGTACGGAAGGTTGGGAGGCCTGCATACCCTGCATTCTACCGTCAAGCCGCTGAAACGTCCTCATATTTATCGCAATAAAAGGTCGTTGACCAGAGAAGAGATTGGGCCCATGTGCAGGCTTGATGCCCCCCAGCAATAATTTCAGAGAGATCTTTGATAAGGGGACCTGACATACTTGTGCTGCTGCCAAATCTCTGCTGTTCTTTGAAGTAAAAACAAACAGATTATGCAAGGGTTGCACTGACCCCCCCCCTATCATTTTAATGAACATTGTGATCCATGGTGACAATTTATGTAGCAGTGATTTGTCTTACTTTAAGTACCACCGTCCAAAAGTCTAATGCAATAATGGTTAAACATGGTTGTTGCCAATCTTGCTGCACCAGTAGTGACATCGAAGTTGTAAACAAGTTGTAAATTAGGCGAATGACAAGCTTCTGTCATTGTCACTCCTGATTTAGTGCTAGGGTCATGCCTTCTGCTCTCAGTATTGCATTACGATGTCAGTCTATAGTTCTATAAAGGCCATGAAACCAGTTGGATGCCATTGTCCCAAGTCATTGACTCTTTGCGCTCGAAGTACAAATTTGGTGCTTGAGGCCACTTGTACATTAATATTGTCAGAGGGAAAGACAATCTGCCATTCTTTAAGGTGAAGAATGAAGAAGAATGAA